GTTCAGCTCAAGCATCACCTTTTGCAGGAGGCCCATCCTAGTCCATCCGCCACCAAGCCGCTAATGTCCTCTCCCCCCACCCTATCTTGTTATGTTGCATTTGTTTTCATAGATTTATAGATTTAGAAGTGGAAGGGACCATTAGAAGTCTACTGCCATTATTGTACAGACGAGGAAACTAAGGCACAAAGCAGCTAAGTGATTTGCGCAGGTACACACAGGTAGGAAGTGTCTGAGCCAGGATTCGAACCAGGTCCAGTGCTCAATTCCCACAGCTAGTAAGTGTGTGCTTTGAATATCCCTCCATACCCGTAGGGATAGAGCCGGGACCTGTCCTTTCACTGATGTAGGAGGACACGCCCTCTAACAACGTAGGTCAGCCCCTTCTCTGTATCTCATAGTCAGAGAGTTGCCTGAATTAGAGCCCTTTAAGGTTAAATGACTTACCCAGGGTCACACAGCAATCATGTCTGAGGTAGAGCTTGAATGCAGATCAATTTTTAGATTTAAAATGTTTTCAATTAAGAAGCATTTGTCTTTCCCCCTGTCCTCCCCTACCAAATTAAAGGAAAAAAGGAAAAAAGAAAAAGTGGAGCCGGGTCTTCCAGACTCTGAGGGCAGTTCTCTGTTCGCTTTGTCATGCTGCCTCTCCGTACATACACAGATAGGTCTGCATGTGGTATATATACGTATGTGTGTGTGTCTGCAATTATATTCAGATATAGAGGAGCACCTCGAGGTTACAGTATACTTATGAGTGCATACTTTGGTGATGGGCAGGTTTCTCCCCTGTTAGAAGGTCTTCACCTCGAGGGCATTTTGCCCTGTTTTGCTTCTGTCTTTCTATCCCAGGTACTAAGCCTGGTACTTGGCATACAGGAGGCACTTAATAAATGCCTCTTGATTGATTGTGGTCCCTTCCAGTTCTGACTTAATGATCCTGTGACGACTGATTCAGTCTCAAAGGGGTCGGATGGGAAAGAATGTCGAGTTCGGTGCCTGGCTGGGTGCCTGGGGGAGCGTGGCCCTGGGCAGCTGGGGGCATCAGAGCTGAGCCGGGCTTCAGGCAGGACTCTTGCTCCTCACGCCCGAGGGAGCGCAGAAACCAGGGAAAGGCTTCCAGGTGGGGCTATGTCTCCTCACTCGTCAATACAAAGCACTAGAAGGAGGATTTGGGTTTGACTTCCCACTGTGCTAATCTGGCACTTGTCGTACCTTAACTTCTCTGGGCCTCCACTTCCTCATCTGGAAAATGGGTAGGTCCAGGATCCCATGGGCAGACCTCTGGTGTGGATTTCTGAGCAACTTCTAGTTCTTTTGGGGAAGCAGTCCCTGGTGCATGTGCGTGTGTGTGCATGTACGCGTGCATGTACGTGTGCGTGTGCGTGTGCATGTGTGTGTGTGTGTGTATCTTGTGAATTCTGGCTCCATCTCGCCTACTCCTCTCCTTCTCTTTACTCATGAGGCCACATGCCCAGACCAGGCCCTCATCACTTCTCACTTGGATTATTCCTGATTGGGCTCCCAATGTCCAGCCTGTCCCTTCCCCAATCCATTCTCCTCACAGCTACCCAAATTACCCTGCTGAAGCACTGACCTGGCATGTAGAGTTTAGACTCCATTTGGACAGGGACTGTCTCCCCTCTTCATTTGTATTTCGAGGGCCTGACACTGTGACTGACAGATAGGAGGTACTCAACAAACATTTCTCGATCAATTGATATTCTTCTCCTGCTCAGGAGACCTCAGTGTTGCCTCTAGGATAACGTACACACTCACTTTCTGACTCGCCTGTTTTCACTTATTTCGCATTACCCAGCCAAGATGGTCCCCTTGAGTGCCCTGGAAGAGGCACTCTCTCTCTCTGTGTCTTCTCACAAGTCTAGGTGCAGGACCCTTGCTTCAGGGACTCCCCCGTCTTGGCTTCCATGCCAACCATACTCTGGCTCTTCCACACACATTAACTCATACACCCTCTTGTCTTCTGCAAAACCAGGTCAACTCATTGCTCAAACTCCCTTCTGCACATCATCACAAACCACCTCCATTCTGGGCGTCAAAGGAATGATTGCTCAGGGGAGTAAATGACGACTTCAGGCAGCTGTGCCAATGCAACGTCTTCCCTGTAGAGCTGCCTTTCCCCCCAGCCCCCAGTGTCAACCTTTCCAGTTGTGTACCTACCGGTATCCAGATTTCTGGTGAATCAGGACATAAGGGGATTTGGGGCTTTGATTGATGAAATTCTATTCGCTCAGCATCTACTGTTAGTCAGGGGAAGGTTTTTTAAAGTTTAAAACTTAATCTTGAGGAGAATAGATAGGAGGAGATATGAGGAGAAACCAATCAGGAGGACTGGTCAGAGACTTGTCTAGTCTTTAGGCCAACATATCTGGTATTTTATTTCATTCAGTGTTTTATGTTCATTTGTAAAATCCTGAATGAAATGAAATATCAGAGAGATGATCCTTTAAAAAATCGATCAGAAGTTGGCCCGCCATCTCCTACGTGGTTTTTCCTCATCACATAGGCATTTTTGTTGTTCAGTGGTGTCTGACTCTCCATGACCCTGTGGATCATAGCACGTCAGGCCCTTCTGTCCTCCACTCTCTCTCAGAGTCTGTCCAAGCTCACGTTCCTTGTTTCCATGGCGCTCTCTATCCATCTCCTCCTCTGCTGTCCCCTTTTCCTTTTGCCTTCAATCTTTCCCAACATCAGCGTCTTTTCCAATGAGTCTTATCTTGTCATTATGTGGCCAAAGTATTTAAGTTTCAGCCTCACTATTTGACCTTCCAGTGAATGAGCCTGAATTAATTTCTTTAAGTATTGACTGATTTGNATCTTTTCCAATGAGTCTCATCTTGTCATTATGTGGCCAAAGTATTTAAGTTTCAGCTTCACTATTTGACCTTCCAGTGAATGAGCCTGAATTAATTTCTTTAAGTATTGACTGATTTGATCTTCTTGCTGTCCAAGGAACTCTCAAAAGTCTTTTCTGGCACCACAATTCAAAAGCATCTCAGCTTTCCTTATAGTACAACTCTCACAGCCATACGTTGCTACTGGAAAAACCATAGCTTTGACTA